ATTAGTGTTTGAATGAAGAGTTGGAAGAAAACATGAACATATCATGGTTCTTGTGCCTCTGATTCCTCTGTTTACACAGCACATTGTCTTACAAAATGTTTTCCCCCAGGGGTGGATGCTCCAGGCCTCTTTTGAAAACCTGAATATATTCCCTCTATTTTTTTCTTTTTTTTCTGTCCCCCACAGTCTGGCTTCTGTGCTGATGGTCTTTTCAGCCTGCAAGCCTGGGACCAGCTCATTCTGGATGAAGCCAATCAATATAATTCCTAAGTCAGCCCAAAGAGTTGACACAGGGTGACAAAAAGTGCCCCTGAGACCAGTGGCATAACCAGGGTGGGATGACTGGGGCTCTTGGCATGAATTTGTGGGGTGGGGGTCTGCTGCTGCCATCTGCACAATCATGCCAGCAGTGCAGTGGGAATGGGGAGTCACCACTGCCCCTGTCTCTCACGCACCTGGGCGCATCACTATGCCACTGCCTGTGACCCAGAGGATGAGTACATTGTCTACACAAGACAGAGATTTTTGGCTGACTAGGGTGCAAGATTGGGCGACCTTATTTCCCCGAGTGTGAAATACAACACTCTGTTCCCCTGCTGCTCTCTCACATGCTCAGCTGTCTCTGAGCTCCTGCTTCTGCTGAGCATGCTGAATTGTGGGAGCTGAGAAGAGGGGTGGGATGCAGACTAACAAAGACGGTGTGGTGGAGGGAAGACACAACGCATGAAACGCTCATTGGGAACGATCCCATTTGCATTGAGACGGTCCAATGTTAAGCACACATGCCAGGCATCCCACTAAAAAGCGGGGAAAGGTGTTCATTTGCCCAAACTGATGGGATGCCTAGGACAGATGTTTAACACAGAACTGTCCTGGCAAAAACAAGGTGCGTGGTCATGCTAGTAGAGCAAAACCAAGTTGCAGAGTAGACTTTGTCACTGACAGCATCTAATGGCTTGGCTAGTCCCTGTCAGCCTGGGTTTGGTTTATGGGACATATCCCCCTCTAATCTCTAAAAAATGGGACAAAGTTTTCCTCAGGCTTAGGCCCACTGGCTTAAGTTGTTACGTCAACACCGAACCCCTCCTCTCCCAGCCCTCTTCCTCACACCCCCAAAATGGAGTCACTTTAAGATAAAGTATATTCCTTCCACCTCAGTAACGTTTCCTGAAAGAGAAGAATAAGCCACACGTACATACCAAAGAATAAGATACTATATATATGAGCCTGCACATAAGTCTTTTCCCTAAAAGACTCCAAAGCTCTTTACAAACTTGAAGGCAGGTTCAACTATCCTTACACATATTGAGTAGTAGCTTGGACTTTGGCAGGAGTGATCCCATAAAAAAAATACTGCTCACTGAGTAACTGGGACAGAATCTAGCCCTTTATATGTTCATTTTTAAACTGAAGACTTTTGTCTTTCATAAGACAGCAGCCATTTATTGTCACAAAATAGCCTTCTGGAGCATTTTAGAATAGGAAGAGAAAAGAAAGAATTCACAAAAGCATGGAGGGAGTTAGCCAGACTGAGAAGAATGACTCGAATTGGAATTTGGTCAGGATATGTGGGTTAATAGTGTTAGGTTTGAGAATTATGTCATGGGCTTACTGACCACAAGGGGTCAGGAAGACATTGCACTTACATCTCAGCTATAGCCTCCAAGAATGCTGGCTGCAAAAATATGGCACTTGTGCATTGACTCAGAACTTACTCAGACAGAAGATTTCCGTTCATTGAAAAACCAGTACTATGTCTTAGTCACTCTGAAGCTGAATTGTTGTCTCTGTTTATGATGACACTTTTCTTGGGGTCATAACTGAAAGCCAGTGCTGCTATATATTTAGTTTAAAGCTCAGTCAGCCATGTAAAATCATAGAATCATACAAAATTAGGGTTGGAAGGGACCTCAGAAGGTCATCTGTTCCACCCCCCTGTTCAAAACAGAATCATCCCTACCTAGATCATCCCAGCCAAGGCTTTTTCTAGCCAAGTCAAAAAAACCTCCAAGGATGGAGATTCCACACCCTCTCTGGATAGCCTGTTCCAATGCTTTACTACCCTCCTAGTGAGAAAATGTTCCTAATATCTAACCTAAACTTCCCTTGCAAAACACATGTCTAAAACAATTCCCTGGAAATAACTCCACCCAATCAATGACTCCTGTAATCAGGAAGTGAATCCAGTGCAATGCATATATATCCTTTGACTGCTAAGCCACTGAGCCTTCCCTTCCTTTGCTTTGCCCACATCCCAAGGCACAGGCCTATTAGCCTCTAGTTCTACCATTCTAACATTATAAAAACCTAAGTCTGCCTGTCTGTCTGTCCGTAATGCTTTATTCACTCTGGGTGCTGACAGAAACAGCCAATCAGAGTGCTCTAAGCATGGGGGCGCACCACCATGACTCCAAAGCCATGTCAAGGACCGGACTGAGGGTGGGGGAGGCAAGACCAGCGCTGCTGGCCTGGGCTCCCCAACCCCCGCTCCCTGCAGGAGGCAGAACAGTGGCAGCATGGAGCGTTAAGTGGCGGCACTCCATCCCAGCCCTTCTCCCACCCCCCATCATTCTTGATGGGCAATTGGCTAGTATCAATAGATAATGATCAAAAAATCCTTAAGAATGGCCCTAAGATGTCATCCTTCCACTGTACTCAGCCTTGTTGAGGCTGCAGCTGGAGTACTGCATCCAGTTCTGGGCTCCACAATTTAGGAAGGACGTGGAGAAGCTTGAAAGAGTCCAGAGGAGAGCCAGGCATCTGATCAGAGGGCAAGAGAACAGGACTTATGAAGAGAGGCTGCGAGCTATGGGACTCTTCAGCCTGGAGAAGCACAGGCTCAGGCGTGATATGGTGGCAGCCTATAAGTACATAAGGGGTGTGCATCAGGACCTGGGGGAACACCTGTTCACCAGAGCACCCCAAGGGGATGACAAGGGCCAATGGTCACAAACTCCTGCAACACCATTAGGCTGGACATAAGAAAAAACTTCTGTACTGTCCATGCCCTTAAGGCCTGGAATAGACTCCCCCCAGAAGTGATGCAAGCACCTACTCTGGACACTTTCAAGAAACATTTGATGCCTATTTTGCTGGGATCCTTTGACCACAGCTGACTTCCTAACCCTTAGGCAGAGGGCTGGACCTGATGATCTTATGAGGTCCCTTCCAGCCCTAATGTCTATGAAATCTAATTTGTGCAATTGCAGATTTTGAATTACCATTATGGGGAGCAAGCAGCTAGTCATTTGAGGCATCTTAAGGCAGCAGCATACCTACAGCCCTGCTGGACTGATGCACCTGATCTGTCTGTTCTTCAAAGTTATGCAATTTTGATCATAACTTGTGTATGGATGAGAGATCACTGGAAAATAATGGTTGCCATTGGTGGAAGCTGAGGAGCTGTGGTTGAACATTTGGCAAATATTAGTATACAGAAACTGAGAAGAAAGTCTTTGTTTGCTTTACCACTGCAATGCACTGATAGATAGGAGTAAAAAATGCAATAGCATTTTCTCTTTTTAATTAAAAACAATCCTACCAAGTTAGACTAGGAGCGTGGACTGAGAGATTGAACTATATGTCCCTGGGCTTGTTAAGACCCTAATGTCTTAAGGTACTTATGGATTGTTCTAGGGCTAGGGGCAGACATTCAAAAAGACTGAGCCTGAATTGATTCAATCTAAGCAGGTTAGTGTAACCTAGTCAGGCTGAACCTGTTTGTAATTGCACAGACATCCCCTATGGACTGAAGAAATGCAGGTACATGCCTACAGTGGCCCAGGCTAGAAACCGGGGGCCCTCCCTCCCCTTCAACAATGCTGAGCTGAGGGGGGCATGGCCAGGCCCCAGCAGGACTCTCTGATTATGGAGGGGTTTCTCCCCACTACCCCCTTGCTGCTCCTGACCAGCAGAGCCAGCAGGGAGTTACACAGCATTTACTTGCACATCAGGGAGTTACACAGTGTTTATCAGCCCATCAAGAAAACAAAAGCCTTTCTCATTAATTAAAGCTCTTCTTTTATCTCCAAAAAGCCCTAAGTGGACACTATCCTGTCTGTCTTACACAGACACCTCTCAGCATTAGCTAGCAAAGCATGTGCTGGCTCTGGTCCATGTTCTGGCAGAGGAGAGGGGGGGAATCCCTGCTTGAGCAGGGAGTGGGGTGGGGGGGGTGGGCAGGGCAAGGGGAAGCCAGCCAGATGCTACTGTACCTGCAGTCTCTGCTGGAGCTCCAGCTAAGGAGCAGAGAGGAGGGGCCAGCTCTGCTGTGGAGCAGAGAGACTTGTCTAGGGCTGCAAAGCATCTGGGATGCTGGAGGACTCTGGTTTAAGTTAAACCAGGAAGGGGTCTGGGACAGACATTGCATAAACTGGTTTGATCCAAATCAGTTAAGAATGATACTACATTCAGTCAGGTTTATCTCAGACTGGTTTCAGCCATTTTCAAACTGGTTTATGTGCACTGAACATCTGTTCTGTTACAGCAGGGGTGGGCAATTATTTTGGGCAGAGGGCTGCTAACTGAGTTTTGGCAAGCCATCAAGGGCCGCATGACAGGCAGCCCAGGGCAGATAAATATTAATTTTCTAAATTTTTTAAGGGCCCTGCAGGCCAGATAGAATGGCCTGGCGGGCTGCATCTGGCCCCCGGGCCGCATTTTGCCCACCCTTGTGTTACAGGCTTAAATCAGTTTCTGATTACTTACACAGGTTTATGTGTAATGTCTATCTCTAGCCTAGGCATTCATGATGTGAATTATGTGTATGAACATTTATTTAGAAAAAATATTTTATTTAAAACTCATGTTTGAAAAGGCTCTACACTAAAGCATCCTGGTATTTCTGTTCTGCTATGGTCAGCAATATTTACATCACATTAAGCTTGCATGCAGTGGTATTTTCATTTGCAAATACTTAATCCTTATTGATGTATGTAATAATATTTTCAAATAATTTTATTTCTACAAATGTTATTTTCATTTTTCTCCCTTTCCGATAGAGTATACAGAAGGAGCTGTATTCCTGAAGCTTATGCAATCCTGTCTTGAAGAACACCACAGTTATTGTATTAATGGTCTCTGTGCTTTTCATAATGAACTCAAGAAACCCATATGCAAGTAAATAAATGGCATTTTTAAATACACATTCTTAGAACAGTTAGATGAGCTTGTATATTTTATGTTATATGTAATTATTGTGCTCATGTGTCAGATGGTCTTTAGTGGAACATTAATTTAAGCATGTGGGCAGTTCCACTGAAGTCAATGGTGCCTCCTGCCATGTTTCACATGCATACCAGAGACAGAGATCTTGAGAACATAAGAGTGGCAGGCTTCACTGCCTCATTTCAGTGTGTGGGAGTGGGTGGAGAGGGTGTACTCATGAGTGACCCACCTGAGAGGCATCAAGGAAGTGGTGATACCAAAGGGATACTTGGTTCTGGGACAGGTTTTATGCCAGGCCTGTGCCTGCTGTACTGCAGAGTTCTCTAACACTACCATGGTTCTAATGCTCATTAGAACCACTCATGGGGTCACCAAAGCTAAGTGTCTTTGCTTGCACCCTCCCTCTTGAAAGATATGTCTGTGTTGCACTCCCTGCTGTGACTTCAGCATAGTGAAGGCATATCAAATCTAGCCTTAAACTAGCAAGCTCAGGTACTGGTAGCAGTCAGCCAGGATGGAACTCAGCACAAGCTGCAAAACCTACCCTCAGAATGACTATACTTAACCTTTGCTGTTCAACATGCTGCCACATCAAGACTGCTACCAGTCCCTAAACTAGCTAGGGATGTCTTCACATCTAGACATCTGGCAGCTTTCATAAATTAAGGTTTCTGATTGCGTGACAGGCTGTTCATATCCGGAGTTAGTTTACTTCTTCATTTCAGTGGTAACTCAATTAAAACTTATCCAAACTTTAAAGTATTGTACAGCAGTTGCATGTTTAAGATTTCCTGAACAGCCTTTTATATTTTTCTTATAGGTGCCTTGCAGGCTACAATGGGGAGAGATGTGAGCACTTAACATTAAATTCTTTTGCGCTTGATTCTTATGAGCACTACATTGCAGTGGGAATTGGCGTTGGAATGTTACTGAGTGGGATTGTTGGCGTAATCTACTGCTATTTTAGAAAGAGGTATGGGGAAAAATGTAGAGGTATGTTCTGTAGAATAAGAAGTGTTGTAAACATTTCTAAATCATTGAGAATACTTCAAAGCAATGGCCCAGTTCCATGGAGAGGGTTTAAAATTTAAAAAGGTGATCTTTGCATTATATTCCTCTGAATAATGTGACGAATTGTGGTGAGGATTATCTACATGTTAGAGCAGGAGAATCAGAAATCTGTGTTTATCATTGTTGCTTGTTGATTGTATGACTTGACACACCACTTAAATGCTTTATCAATCTATGAAATAGTTTTGAAACTATCCATCAAATCTGATTTCCTTGTGATTGCTTCCATGAGCAGGATTTTGCTCTGCTTTGCATATTACAGGTCTACAAGCATGTGCTTAAATTCATATGGTGTTATCCATTTTAGATGCAGGAAGTTAAAATCACCTTACAAAGTCTGCATTGGGGAGACGGCATTGTGAGAGCCTGACCTGGGACCTTTCCTAATTTGCCTGTAGAGGTTCTGAATTGAAAGAACTACTGGTGCCAGCACAATGCGAGCATGTACCAGAGCCTGAATGATGACCTGAAACACTGGGAATTGAATATAGTTGATATGTCAGTGGAATGTCTGCAGAGCTGCCTGGCGTCATTCATGTTGGAGAACGACTCTGTTGCTTTAGTAAAGGTTGTTGGATGATATGACTGAGTCAAAATATCTGAGAAACCCTCCTGTCCTCCACTGCTCTGTTCCAGTTCATTTGTTAGCGGTGGAAGACTGTTTTTCTGAAATGCTTTCAGCCATTTCAAGTTCTCATGGTTTGACTGGGAAATGTTCTCTTTGAAGGAAAAGCACAATACATCTCAATGATGGAGCAGCGTTCTAGATATCACACATTGCTGAAGGCAAAAACCAATCTGGCCATCTTCTGTTTTCCCAGTATTCTCTGGGCCAAAAGGAAATGTCTGACACAACTACTACAGGTGCTAGATGCAATATGATCTGTACTTCTGTTGCCACAATGGACAAGAGCATAAAAAGCTTTAGAAGGGAAGTGGATAATTCATAAAAGATATAATTTAAACTAAGGAAAATAGAAATAATCCAGTTATGGAAAAATAATATAAAATATCAGACCATGAGATATCAGGGCATTGTTGGTTCTGGTTTTGACAACAAAAAAAAAGGATCAATTAACTATTCATTGTGGACAATGTTTGACCTTCCCTTCCATCCTGTAACAACTTACCATATTGCCAGGCTTGTCAGGTAGACCTCACCTTGCATACAGATATCTGATTGTGCTAGGCATAGACTCCTGTTGCTGTGGAAATGGAATTTCTTATCAGAACTCACTAATATAGTTCTGCTCAGGGGAAAGAGACATTTTGCTTCTTTCTCATGGAATGGATAGAATATCAGCATTAAAAAAGGATAAAATTGTGAAAGGGAATGTATACTTTTCTGTACTGCCCACTGTAATATTACTCCTTTTCTTTGATTCCTTTCCC